TTTGTTTGAACTACGGAAAGAGAAAAGTATAAAGGTGAAAAGATATTTTTAACAAAACCTATGAATCGAACTTCTGGCCAATCGAGTTAACTTCCAAAAGTCAGTTTTTTCGTCTCACCTAATTTAAATGAGAACTTGTAGTTTTCTCACCTTTGAATCATGGTAGATATCCTGGGTTTGCAATTCGTTAATTGGTAAGATAAAAGGGTAGTGTTGTTATATTTAAGAGATAGGCTTTAATAGCCAAGCTTCAAGCCCATCTGTGTACTCCCTTAGCAAATAAACTCTGTTAGCGAAAGAATATCTGTAAATATTATTATATCCCTATTATAGTGCGATTTGATTTTCAAATTAGGCAGCAATCCTGTATAAATACATACAGTTTACATCAATAAATATCACTTTTGCCTCAGTAACATTCTTTTAGTCTTTTTATTGTATCATCAGCTTCAAGGACAAACGTCTCTATGATCCTTTTTCTTCCTTCTTTTTCTTCTCTTTCACAATGATGATTACATTCTCTTCTTCCTGCTTCTAACACCAAACAATTAGTAACATTTACTGTAGCTGCCACAAGCTCCATCTAAAGCTCATAGGATCAAATTACCTTGCTTGGAACATCGGTTTCAAGCTTGTTTATAGGTTATGAATTCTTCTGCGCGCCATATAGATTATAGATGGCTTCTCGTCCTTGGTCCATCTCCCACTATTTCTTGGAACTTCCACTTTCCCAATTCCAGAATATAGTCATTGGAATTAGGCAAGATCATCTTGTTCATTCAATGCTTCATTGGTGCTCTCTACCTTCTCATCATTCCTTTCATTGCAAAAGCCAAAACATCCAAACAAGCATGGGATATTCTTCAAAACTAACCTATTGCCCAAACCTTTTAGAGGCCAGAATTAAACAAATCAAAGCTCAGCTTAAAATATCACAAAAGGGACATTCAACAGTTACAGGAATACATGCAGGCAATTCGGATGACAACTGATGAATTAGCCAATGTTTAGGACTCACTTTATTGTCGAGGAAAGACAATTTCACTAATCAATATTTTAAGAAGGTTTAGAAGATGCTTACAAAGAAATCATACATGCAATCAATGGCCTCCTGATTCTGCCATAACCTTTGATGAGTTACATGAAAAACTCATAACTTTTTGAGGCAGCTCCTTCCTCCTGCTGACCCCCAACATATTTTCAGCCACTTGCAAATTATATATGAAACATTTCCTTCCCGGTCCACCCGTAAGTCCTAACGGGTTTGTATATTATATTTTAGTGCCGCAACTAAGTCCTAATCGTTATTACTTTGATCTTTGTTTTATGCAAAATAAAATCCACTTCTTATCATGATTATAGTAAATCTCTCAACAGTTTTGTAGTTTCTTTTGCAAGGTTAGTTTTGGTACTTTAAAATTTATTTTGACCAAATATTATTATCTTAATTTTTTTTGTGTGTGTTTTGACATTTAGTTAAATTTGCAACCTCATTTGTTAAATTGTCCCAATAGTTTTTTTAATGAAAAGTAATGAATGCTTTCAAAAAAGTAGTAAGCCCCGATTTTAAGAATTATTATTTTAATTATTTTAATCAATCAATGAAATGATGAAGAGCGTAGGACATTGTATAATTATGCTCAAAAAACAGCAGCCGCTTGTTTTGTTCAAGAGCATTTTGCATTTTTAAACAGTGCCAAATTTACTGAAGCAAAAATCTCATTCACCATTTTGTTGGTTTCGTGAGGATAAAAAATTTCATCGAAAAAGAAATATTATTTTTAAATAGTTCCTAAAATGCATTATTTTTGTCCAACAAGCAATTCAATTGCTTATTTGACCTATTTTCAAAAAAAAGAGGGAAAATTTCTAGCTTTAAAATGTCTAGCAATTAATTCGGTTTGGAACCATATTGAATCCGGTCGAACCTTTTAGTTCACTATCGATCCAAATTTAAAAATTACTGTTTTAAATACAATTTAAGTTTGATTAAGTTGAACGTAACGCAATTTGATGGCTATAATTTGTCAAATTTTTTCTTCTCAAGAGATTAGAGGGACTACACAATTTTTTCTTATTACAACTTTTAAGGATAAGAATTTAAACTCATGCTAAATATATTTTTGATGGACAGTTTTACAGCCCTTTAAGCATGGAGAAAAGTTTTTTTAAATTATAGCTGTTAAGCCTCTAACAAGTTTTGAATGTTAGAACTTAAACTTCACCATTGAAAAAAACTGTGAATACTTGTTTTACAAGCAATTATATTGCTGACACGTAAAACCATATCATTTTTACAAGTAACCATACATATGATAATTTACTACATAATAGTAAATGAATGGGGAGTTTGAATTAATATGTTTACAAAGAAAAAAAAAAAAAATTTTTTAATATAATATGAGATATGGAGAAAATTATTAAAAAATTGTTAATTATTTGAGTGTTATTGTTAATATAAATGCTTTTTTCAAGTAAATGTAAACCAATAATAATAGAATTGAGATTTTGGAGATTTTTGCTTCCAAATATTATCAATGTGTAAGCTCAATTTTTGCTGTTAGAATTGATTTTATAAAAACACACTGTAATAGATGTTATCATTGTTGGTTGCAATGGATGAAAAAGTTGCTAATAAGAGAGAAGTTTAGGGAATCTAGGGAAATGCGAATTTTTGAAAAGTTTGTATTTTTTTCAGTCATTTGAAGATTATTCACAGAAGTATGGCAGGAATTAATTTATTTTTTAAATTTTAAAATTTAAATTTAAGGTAAATTAATATAAGCCGGTAAAACCAAAGAACAATAAAATCGAAATACGTAATATTAATTTATAAAAGAAAATATGATGGAGGCTAATTATATAATCAGTAACATAATTGAAAAATAAAATAATATGGAAAATTATTCGTGTAAATTTTTTAGATTTCTATTCAGTTTCAAAAAGAAAATTAATTTCATTGGCTGGAAACAAAAAGCAACTAATTTTATAAATTCTAGATTCTTTTAAAATTACTTTTAAAAATTTTATAAATTTTAACCGAGTATTATAGTGATTGCAAAAACAAATTACATTTAATTTGTATACATAGTCCAATTAGCAACGAGGGGCTGTTTCTTTCTTTGGGGTGGTAAATTCTAATATATATATATATATACTATATATATAAACTTATTTATCAACGTGCTAGCATAATATGATTTGCAAATGACATGAATTTCTATTATTTGATACCATATAAATTTATATATATATATATATATATATAACTTATTATCAACTGCTAGCATAATATGATTGCAAATGACATGAATTTCTATTATTTTTATACAATATAAATTTAATTTAATGATGAATATTTTAAATTAATTATGTAAAAGTCAAAAATAGTTCATAACTTAAAAAATTCATTAGAAAATATAAAATTAAAGCATATCATCTATAGTTCACTATATAATAAATATAAAATTAAATTATATATAATATAAAGTCCTTTTTTACATAGTAGGACATGATTTTAAATATTACGTGAGAATATTTTTATATTCCAATAAATAAATAATAATAAAAAAAGCAATACAGCTTACCAAATAAGGGAAGAAAACTTAGCTTTTTTAATAAACTAATTTTTTGCATTTATATTCAAAGAAGCTACTTTTCTGCAAAGATAAAACAAACAAATCTATTTCTTATCATCTGAATCAATAAGATAGGTTTCTAATAAGTACAATAAGCTCAAACAAACACATCCTAAGCAAGTTATATATCCTTTTTTTTCTTTTTTTTAAAAGCATCACTAGCTGCTCCTTGGTCAAGCCAACCCAATCAGATCAGCGTCCACAAAGGAAGAAACTCTCGGTGACCGATGAGAAACAAAATAGACACCACGAGGCCCTAACGCTGCATTATTAGCCAAGATATCTGCAATGCAATTCGCCTCTCGAAGAATCTTCACTAACCTCACGTCCCATTGCTTTTTGAGCAGAACAGAGCAAGCCATAACCAAGTTACGGTACCTGCACGCAGAAGTAACCCTATTGTTCAGCATGTCAAACGCTACATGGAAATCCACCTGCACTTGGATTTTCCTCCAACCTCTGTCCCAGGCCAGATTAAGAACATAATAAACAGCCTAGAGCTCGGCTTCAAGAGCTGTGCCCGAGCCCAAAAAAGCTTGAAAACCTAGCAACCAACGACCTTGGTGATCCCTGTAACATCCACCACCAGCTACAATGCCTGGGTTACCCTTGGAGCATCCATCTGTATTAACTGTGATCCACCCTTGCCTACCCCGTCACCAACCAATCAAACAAACACCAGACTGCAAACTTCCAGCATCCTTGCTCGTAGAACGATTCCATGCTTCAGAAACCTCACGAACTCTAGAATGCAAGAACAGAGAGGAAAGATCAAGCATTCCATTCTCAGTATTGAAAACCCGATTATTCCTTGTCTTCCAAAGCCACCAGAGAGAAAGCGAGAACACAATACCCTAAGAACACCCCAGAATATTCGGCTGAGTATTAGACGGTTTGAGAACCAGCCATTCTTCCAGCTGAAGCTAATAAAACTGCTCCGCAATAATCACGTGCCTAAATTGCATCCCAAACACGAGAAGCAAGAGAACACGTCCTAAACAGATGGAAGGAGTCCTCAGGAACACCAGGGCAAGAAGAGAAAAAGATATTTGTTGTAAACCCTCTCGTACCTCTAGCTGAGTTAGTCATAATTCTGTCATGAGCTAGAAGCCATAAAAACATCCTAACCCGCCGAGGAACCTGACTCTTCCACACCAACTTCCACAATCGAGAATTATTATCTGTAACCCCAGAGCATAACATGTCATAATCTGAAGCCACTGTGTAACAGTAAGTTATATATCTTACTTCCATAAAAAGGGGCTGCTTGTATTTTTGACTTTATGATATCTCTAAAGAAATTGAAAGTATTATATAGAAACGAAAAACTAGAAAAGACAATAACTAAAAATAGAAAAAATATTGACCAAAATAAATTTTTTTGTTTTTATTTTTTTGAACAATACATATTGCTTCAAGAACCCAACCATTAAAAGTTTCTGATGGGTTGTTATCCATCACATCACACTTCACATCCGTATTAAAAAATGCCTTACACCAACTTCGAATTTCATATGCCAATGCATCATGCACACAGCCTGTACCCAAAGTATCCGAAACTTTCAATTTTGCCTTTAAGTCACTAATAAATGTGGCTTTAGCACAGCCCCAAAAAACTGTTTTCCTCTCCTCCCCCCCTGCACTTCTTAGCCCAAGCTGCATACATGTGTCCTGCACACCATCCTATGCTCCACGTTCGGAAGAAGATCTTTAATGGCACCCTCCAATCTCTAAAACACATATAACAAAATTATTATTGGACAAACAAACAAACATCATGTCTGAAATAATTCAAAGTTGTTATTTTTAAATGAATACCTTTTGCATGTCTTATAATTGCCTTCCAACTTAGTCATTACCTTCTTTTTTGCATTCCTACAGACATGCATGCTTACATGCATCCTCAAATCAGATTTGCAGACCTTTTAATACCCTTATGTTTATGTTTGGGGGGGCAGTAATCCTATGCTTAAAATATCAAGCAACAAAGGAACTATTTGTAAAATTGCCCTTATTGACCCTGTAACACCTATGATTTGGAATGTACGTCTTAACAACCAAACTATTATCATTCACTTCATTACTAACATAGAGTCCATGGACAACCTGGTGCAGAATGTACCCGAATCCTAAGAGGTTCATTTTAACAATATGAACCGCCAAACCCTTGAAAATTGGATAATTTGACACTGCATCCCTGACATGCTGAAAATTGGTGAATGCCATACCCAAGCAAAAAACAAGAATATTATAGGTGGGATCAAATGTAATCCTAGACCTAGGTATTCTTGCAGAATCTAGCTCAAGCTCATCGTCAGTCAGTGTAATAACTACTTAAATCAGAAGTATCATAGTAAACACTACTATTCCAAAGAAAAATCACTATTTGAGCTATTTACACAATCATCATCAACCTCTTCATTTTCAGGTTCATCCAAGAGATCTACTGGTGGTTCTTCACCTAATTCCCCCAACCCATTCCCATATTGATTGACCAACGGCTGTTTGTTTCTATTTCTAAACCCCCTAACTTTCCCCTTGCTTATTGTAACTCTTCATCCTCATCATCAGTTAAATAGGGCACATTAACACAAATTTCATCAAACGTTTGATGAGTTTGAAAGTCATCTACATTAATATCCTCTTCAACATACCTCTGCATTGTCATTAAAGGTTTATTATCTATCAGAATCTACCTCTGCATTGACATTAAAAGGTTTTGATCTATATACAATATGATCAATGGAGGGCAAGTTGACTCGAACAAAAGGTTGACTTTTTAAATCATTATGAACATGTATGACCTAAGGTATGTCATCTCCACTCTTGTCATCAATAATTTGCAACCATTCTCCATTTAATTTCATCTTAAAATAAACACCATCTACAACCTCATACCTTAGGTCCTTCACATAGGACATCACATTAGGGAAACACAGTAAGTCCATATCAAATTTCTCACATACAACTTCACACTTCCCACCCACATATTCTTTCTTCTCATTTATATACACAAATTGCCCACCATGATATTAAGAAGTCTAACAAGAGTGTGAGACATGCTGTATACAAATGAAGAAATGATAGCACATAATTAGATTTGCAAATGCAAACATTAGGATATAATAAAATAGATATCAAATGAAGGAATTCTGCAATAACACTTGTCAACTTGAAATAAAATTAAATTTTAATAAGCATAAATGGGAGAAAATTAGAGTTCTAATAATGTGTAAAAGGGAAATAATAGAAGAATGTAGGAAAAATAGTAAATATAGTGAATGAGTTACAAATAAATCACTCTCGATCAATTGAATAGAAGAACTGGTGTCCATCTTTTATATTTTATCTTAATTAATAATTGGAATTTTTTTTTTCCAAGGATAAAATCAAATCCTAAATTTTTTATATTAATCCAATTGTTCCACACAACCATAACACCAAAACAGTACAACCTTAGAAGCAAGCATTGAGAAGCCATATGAAACTCTTGGTGCAACTCTCAAAAGTCTAATTTTTTAGTTGAGGCATATCCACTTATTTCCTAAGTTGAAGGTTTCATGTTGCAAAAAATTTCATTATCTACACCAATAATAAACACAAATACACAATTATACAAATAATCGTTGAACCTCACTCAAACACAAAACAAAGAATTCAAAGTATTCCAAAAACACAGCAATGTCTTAGACATCAAAGGAAGGATAAAGCAGCACAAGCTCTCAATTCAGGCCAAGGTGAAACCTCTTATGCTAGGATCAAATGAATAGTTGGAATGTTTAATAATAGTAAAATAGCTCACTTAATCAACTGGTTAACAAAGAGAAATTATTTATAATAGTAAAGGAGTTGATTAAGCTTAATAATAATTGGAACGATTCCTACATCAATCAAATATATTTTTCAAATAAATAACACAAAAGTTACAACACTAACCCAACAACAGATAGAAATAGAAATATACAATAAATAATCTCTTCAAATATTTATCTTCTATCTAATCTTTTACTAGTTTTTCTTTCCACGTACACAAAATATAAGGAAGTCTAAGCTTTTCTCAAGCCTTGTATATTTGATCTTCTCTAAAGAAAATCTATATAAATCAAACCTCAACTATTTTACTTTCATATGATGGTATCAAATTAACACATATTTATATTTACCTTTCTAGTTTATCTCAATAACTTAGCTAAGTTCATAAATAGGAGCTGTCACCAATTGCATAAAACAATACAAATAATCCCTTTTAAACAATTAAAATAATACCCCATGATTTTAAATAATCATACCTGCAAAAAGCAAGAATCTTTCCCAAATATGTAGATCCACCACCAATTAAATAATCATCAACCCTCATTGGAGTAATTTGTTGATAGGAATGAATCTAATTGTAAATGTCAAATTCTGTTATGATTTGATAGTTTAAGAAAGAATGGTAATTGATAAACCAGATTATGAAATATCAGCTGAGGTTGAAATCTGTAATTTATGCAAAACAATTAAAAGCTGTATAGGCTGAGATGGACATAACAGAAATTAATGAATAAAATATTAGTTTCTCTTCTCTCTCTCCCTCTCTCTCTCTACTTACCTTTCATTTATTTCTTTTTCACAAAAACCCTTTTAGGCTCTAAACAACGGAATTATCATTCCTAAACTTGAATTTGTAATTGAAAAATACATAAATTTCAATTTCCATAATAATAAAATATCTCTTATATATTATTATATTTCAAACTAGTCCTCACTAGAAAGTTGAGGAAAATGACTTATCGAAAATTATTATTTTTAATTTAAAAACAAATAAAGGTTCCATTTTTTTCTCTCATGCACATGCATTTTTTTATTTATTGGGAGACTCAATAAGCTATAATAACATTGTGAACTATACAAAAAGAGTAACCCTCTCTTAACTCACACGAGTGATGAAAACTATTGTGTTTAAGATGAAATGCAATAATCAACTTCAATTTCTTCAAATAACCAATGCTTATTTAGTGAAGACAAAAAATAACAATAAAAAGAAAGCTAAAAAATAATTGATTCATTCTTCCTACTTTCTAAAATCACATGTTAAGTGAAAAGAAAGAAAGAGAGAAAGAAAGGAAGAAAAAAAAGTGAATACAATGATTGTTAAGAATCCCATATCGACTGAATACTAAATTCACAAAAGGCATATAAGGATAGCAAGCTAACTGACAATTGGTTGGTACTAACCTTTTAGCATTATTGGCCCAAGCCTTTACCTAGATAATTGTCTAACCTAGTAAGAGTTCACTGAATTATTTTCAACGCAGCTTTTGTTAACCAAATTTTTTTCGGCACAGCTCAAAATCTGTGAGAGTTCACCAAATTTCACCAAATTGTTTTCGGCGCAGCTGAAAATCTGTAACATGTCTGTCACACTCGACTCCAACCATCAGAGGAATTGTCTAATGACAGCGTTTTTTCGCAAGTATACGAAATCGCAACAAGTAATATAGAGTAAGAGAGTATCGTATCCACAGGGATTGTTTATCAAGTACCAAAGATAATATAGAGTAAGAAAGAGTAATCGTATCCACAGGGGATTGTTTATCAGTTACGCCAAAATTATGTTAACCTATTATTATTTAAGACGACGATAAGAGAAGATTCACTGTAAGGTAAATAGAATCTTAAAAGTAAAATAGAAGAGATCAAACATAAAATTTAAGTGAAAAGAGAATCAGGGGATTAAGCTAATAGGGAAATTTGATTTACTTTATATTCTATCCAGTGCTTATTCTATTAGTTCAATTATCAATTTAAATTGTCAAGTAGGAGTAAGCAACCCATAAAAGTCACCTATAAGCTGCTCTCCCGATTTATTGTTAGTATTCTAATATCAGTTCAATTACGCTATCTTTTAATAGTGAAATTAAAACATAAAATCAGATTTTATTAGGTTTTAGGTTTATGGTTGTTTTGTGAATTCATAACTTAAGGTCATTAACTTATGAAAACCCCCCTTGAGTCAAACCATATAGCTTCCGCATCAAGTTGTTATTCTCAAGTAATTTATTACATTTTTCATATCAAAAACCCTTCTCCCGATAGTGATTAATGAAATAATTCAATCCAGGGGAGAAACTCTGCCTGGGAGCTTTAAGTTCAATAATAAATTATAACAAGAATAACGAAAAGCAAATCTAATATTATAAATTGGAATCGAATTAAGCTACATCAAATCCCTAGTATGAGAGTTTAGCTAGACATAGTAATTAAATAAAAATGTAAATTAAATCAATCCAATGCCTTGGCAGCATTCATCATATTCATAAAGACAATAATAAAAGAAAGAAACAAGATGAGAGTTTTACGAAATAAAAACATGTATCACAAACTATGTTTGATGGCTTCCTTGAATCTTGGCACAATTGTTTGATGCTTGAAATCCTTGAGAGAGAGAACGAATTAATGTAAAAGAAAATTGCCTAAAACAAGCGAGAGATATCTTTTGCTTGAGATAGTTCCTTTCTTTATATAGAGTTCCTGAAGGCTAAGTCCTGATTTCCTTTTAGGAAATAGAATGCCTTATTTAATGCAAAATCCTTTATAGGAGAATGCATGACTGTTTAGAACTTTTGATTTCTTCTTAGATTAGGACTCTTTTTTTTCTCCTAGAAATAGGTCCAGTCCTTGTTTAGTGTGTTTAGGAACTCCGCTGAAGGTTCGGCCCATGTGAGAAAAAGGCTTGATTGCATAATAAATTTACGCTGGTTTTTGCCGCCTGTGCAGTGTGCACGGGGTGCTTCCTGGCACGGGCCTGGGTGTGCTTTTTAAGTTCTGGAAGTCTGGCCAGTGGAAAGCAACGGGGCCGTGCTAGTCAGCACGGGGCTAGCGAAGCATTGAGGCACGGGCGTGCACTTAGCACGCAAGGGCGTGGCCTATTTCTCTGGAAGTCCTGCTAGAGTTTTGTCAACGGGCGTGCTATGCTTGACAGGCTTGACACGCCCTGGTCCCATTATAGCACGGCCGTGCCTTTTGGCACACCCTGGCTATGCTCTCTTCTGTCTCTCCTTTGGTTTCCTTGGCTTCTAGCACGGTTGTGCTTTTTAGCACGGCCTGGGCGTGCTAGAGGCTAAGTGCTTTGTATTATAAAGTTCTTTTTCTGCGCCAAATTTCTGCAATTTTCTCTTAGCTCAAGCGGATTAAAGATCAAGAAAGCTTTTGAACATAATTATACTAAAAGTGATTTAAAATTAAATTAAAGCAATAAAAACTTACTAAAATTTAAATAAAAACTATATTAAAATACATAAAAACTATATTAAAAACACTATAAAATTTACACTTATCAAAATTCCCCAAACTTAAACCATTGCTTGTCCTCAAGCAACAAAACTAAAGAAAAAATAATTTGACGATACTAGTTTAACATGGTTGGAGATGATTTCCATCATCTTTCATGATATCATGATTAGTAAACTAAATGAGGGTGTCTGATCGTGGCACGGTCGTGCTGATAAGCACGGCCTGGGCGTGCTCTCCTCTGACCTGCAAGTGAAAGAAAGGGCGTACCTGGCACGGACGTGCTGATGGGCACGCCCTGGGCGTGCTCTTCCCTGCCTCTTGAATTGAAAATTGCCTGTGGATAGCACGGGTGTGCTATCTGACACGCCCTAGGCGTGCTTGTCTCTGACTCTCAAGTGTCTTTTCCCTTCTTCAGTAGCACAGGCGTGCCTCTTAGCACGGTTAGGGCGTGCTCTTCTCTGACCTTCAAGTGTGATTGACCCTTTTTAATGACACGGGCGTGCTCTTCTCTGACTCTCAAGTATCATTGCCTTGGGCGTGCTCTTCTCTGACTCTCAAGTATCATCACCTTTGAAAACCGCACGGGCGTGCTGCTGAGCGTGCTTGGGCGTGCAGGATCCTCACCCCATGGCACGGGCGTGCTTAATAGCACGGCTAGGGCGTGCTCTGTTCTGAATTTCTACTTTTTCCTAAAAAAAAAAAACTCTAACAAAACAACAATTGTGGAGAAAATTTGGGGGTTTTTTTGCAAATAAAACATAAAACAAGACACATGAATGGAATCAAACATAAACAAAACACATAAGAAAAATTAGATGGGTTGTCTCCCACAAGCACTTTTGTTTAACGTCGTTAAGTTCGACGCACTTATCCTAGTTTAGGCTAAGCAAGACCAATTATGCCCCTAGTTTAGGCTAAGCAAAGACGGATCCGCACTGCTTGATGGGGTTCGATAAGTTGTCATTATGATAGCTTCTTTCTCAGACGTTGAGTATTCACCATTGAAAACTTCGATGTTTGTCTTACCATGCCACTATTTCAATTGCACGCAATGGGAAAGATTTCCCTTTATTGTGAATGGTCCAGACCTAATCTAGAGCGTACTTACCGCAGGAATAACGGAGCCCTAAGAGTTATATGAGCAATACTGCTGGGCACTACTTCAGATCCCTGCATGATAATTACGCTTATCCGGTGCCCAATTGTTTTCGGTGCGATCACTTTGGTATATTTTGGCAGTTTTTCTTTTCATAAGCATGGTAAAGGCGCATTTCATCCATTTCATGTATTAAATTGTAAGCAGTCGGGCTTTTGACCATTTTTGTCCCACTTCCTTGGCATTAAAGTTGAGAAATTGAATGGCCCAAAATGCCTTGTGTTCTAACTCTACAGGAAGATGACAAGCCTTACCATACACCATGCGATATGGAGACATACCTATAGGTGTTTTGAATGCAGTTCTGTAGTCCCATAGAGCGTCGTCTAGCTTTTTGGACCAATCTTTTCGTGATTGTCCAACAGTGGTTTCGAGGATCTTTTTGATTTCTCTGTTAGTGACCTCTACTTGTCCACTGGTTTGAGGATGGTATGGAGTACCTACTCGATGAGTGACACCATATTTTGCAAGAAGGGAGTCTAAATATCGATTACAAAAATGCTTACCTCCGTCCGTGATTATCGCCCTGATTAATTGCCCTAGTGATTATTGCTCTTGGAGTACCATGCCTTGTAAAAATGTTTTTCTTTATGAAGCTCATCACACTTTTGGCATCGTTATTTGGAAGAGCAACAGCCTCTGCCCGTTTTGATACATAATCCACCGCCACTAGAATGTATTGATTTGAATATGATGGCGGAAAAGGTCCCATGAAGTCCAGACCCCATACGTCGAAGATTTCGACTTTAAAGATGCTATTTAGGGGCATTTCGTGTCTCTTCGAAATGTTACCTAACCTTTGACAACGATCACATAGACGAACATAGTTATAAGCATCTTTAAAGAGATTAGGCCAATACAAACCGCTTTCTAGTGAGGGCGCAATACAAACCACTTTCTAGTATACGGCGCGCTGTGCTTGGCTTGCTCCAAAGTGGCCTTCCGCATTCCATGGATGGGCATTTAGGGCACATTTCTATTTCCAGTCTTTGGTATACATCTCCTGAATAGTCTTGAATCACTGGCAATACTTTGGAACCAAAAATGGGGCTCCTCCCCAAAATAGTAGAAAATTGATATTGCATGAAAAAAACTTTTCTTTTCCTCTGGGTTTGGTAAGGAAAAAATTGGGAGGGG